TGACTCTGTAAACCGCTTAGAGAGGGCTGAAAGCCCTATGAAGCGGTATATAAGTCTAATTACTACTATTGCTATTGCTAAGTGGACTAGCTCAGGCTTTAATGGCTCATTGACAAAGGGGGATGGGCAGGAAGCTGCAGGCAGCTATTCCGTCTTTTAAAACATGTTTCTTCCTTTTCACATCCAGAGAAATGTTCTGCCTTTTCAATATTTCCTAGGATATTTCATTTTTTTCTGGGAGAGGGCTGGGTGATAACTTCCTACAGCAGGACACAGGATTTAAGAGTAGCCATGCTTGAAGGAGGATTATATTTTTTTATTTATTTCTTTTATTTATTTAGTTTGACAAACATGTACAAGATAACAGATATAAGTATAAACACGGAGATGAACAAAGGAAACGAGTATAAATAAATGGGGACAATAGGACTGGGACAGAAGGGACACTGGTGCGCTTATGCATGCCCCCTTTACAGACCTTTTAGGAATGGGGTAAGGTCAACAGTAGACAGTTTAAGGTTGAGCTGTGGGGGTTTGAGGATGTAACAATGGAGTCAGGTAGATATTTCTCCTCGTAAAACTAAGGCAACTTTCTTAGTTGATAAATAATAAATTACTAGGGGCAGGAGAGAGACAATCTAGTCTTAATATCAGGTAAACATAACAATGTAAAAAAAGTCAAGAACAAAAAATCCTGTCCCACTACCTGTTTCCTTTTAGTTTTTCTTCTTTTGCCAGTTGTTTTTTGTACTGCAAACAGTTGTTCTTGCAGAGGTTTGAACAGAAGCATATAATTTAGAAAGCTTTGGCTTTCTCTGTCACTCAACCCCTCCCTTCGTCTTGTTTCTTTGCTCCTTCCGGTCGATCTAGCCTTGTCTTATTTGGATGCTCTAATGCCCAGAATTCTCTAGCATGGAAATTGCTGAGAATTCTGGGAGCTGAAGTTCATACAACCTTTCGGAATGCCAAAACTGGGGAAGGCTGATGCAGCCTCCTCACCTCAGCTCTTCTCTCAAGACGAATTGTTCACTTTGAGGCTAGTTGTTCCCATCTAAGCCCCTGTCCTTTTAGGGGTCACGTTAACTGTTGTCAATGCCATGGGATTTTCCGAGGATTGGTCTCTTGAACATGTAGGCAGAACTTTTCTTTTCTTGGCCAAAGTAAGCAAATATGGGTGTCAAGCTTCGAAGCATACCCATGCTACTTTCACCTTTGCTGCTTCTCAGCTTGCCAACGAACTATGGGGGAAAGGAAGGGGTAATTGGAATGTGAGTTTTAAACATCAAGCAATCCGCCCGTGAGAACCAAGGTCACTGCAGCAGGTGTTGGCCAGACTTTCAAGACATCTTCTCACGACAATAGTGTGACATTGAATTGGACAATGTGACCTGCACTAATAGGAGGGAGGGAGGATTCTGTATTTTAATTATATTGAATTGTGCGGGAATTAGCCAGAGCTGGTTTTGCTTTCATTCTGTGCCGAAATGATGTACTCAATAAAGTTTTGCATTAAGAGATTGGATCGTCTCGACAGTGCTTGCTGGATTGGATTCGTCAGTCGGAACCTTGACAATGGGTTTGCACATCTTAAATGCAAAACTTGAGTTAGCAGATAATCAACTAGACTATTTGAAGGACCACCTCTCCACTATTCCATCCAGCCACCCCACTGGGATGGGAAGAAAGAATATTTGTTAGGAATGTACATCTGATGGAACCACAAAAAAGTTTCTTTTCAATGATGGCTCCTTCTCTATGGAACATCATGCCCCCCCCACACACACTGAAGTACAAAATTACTTTCTTTTCTGAAAGACTCTGAAGATGTGGTTTTGTCAATGGGCCTGGGAATCATGAATGGTGATGGAACCAATCAAATGGTTGATTTGATTGTATTGCTGCTGTCATGGGTGTGGGTGGGTGAAATGGCAGGGGCTATTTAGGTGTTCTTAATGTTGTAAGTTATTAATATTATAAGCTGCCATGTTAGACAGCTATATACATCTGTTTAATAAATAAAAGAAAAATCATTGCTGTGTTTGCATAATATGCCATGAACACAAGGAAAAAAACATAATAATGCAATTGCTCGGTTCACACAACTTGCATAGGCAATACCCAGGGTATTGCAGTGTGATGAACCATAAAGTACTTCATTCTGTTTGTGATGTATAATCTGCATGTTGTACAAATCCAACCGTTCTGAATCATAAATCAACATCTCTTGGCTTGGGTAGCTCCATTACAATAAGATTTTCCCCCCTTTTGATCACACTAAGTTTTGGTGTAACCATCAAGTACTGGATCTTTTAACTGCCTTCCAGGCAGGTGGGTTGGCAGTACCCAGCCAATTTTGGCAAATCTCAAAAATTAAGACGGATCAAGCTGGTATTTCAATGAGAAACTATCAGGAGAGTTGCAAGCTAGACTAGAAAACTGAAAAAACACTGCAGAGGAAGCAGTGGGAAGCCACTTCCAAACTTTAGCCCAAAATAATCACAGTCTCTGATGTTGTTGTCCCCAGGAACTGAGCTTGAGTATCAACCTTATAAAAGGGATTTTAAATCCCAGGGCTTCAACATTTAGCTGTCATAACTGGGAAATCACCTGTTACATCTGGAATGTCTTTCTTCCCTTCAGACTCAGCAACTATCATCACTCTACGCATTTGTATCACACCAGGGAAAGGAAACCTTTTAGGCTGCATAATACTCAAGGGTGCTAATTACACACAACAAGGACTAATAGTAATACTTATTACTCTCCTCTGTATAGTTGACAAAGAGAAGAGAGATATCAATGTTGAAAATTCCACCTTTCTGCCCTGATCAGAAAAATTCCAAGACTACGGTCATCTATACGAGGAAGAAAGAAAGTTTCTTCTCATCAGGAAGAACACCAGAGGTTGTATTCAGCCGGTTCTGACCGGTTCTGGCAAACCAGTAGCGGAAATTTTGAGTAGTTCAGAGAACAGGCAAATACCATCTCTGGCTGGCCCTGCCCCTGATTATTCGCTGCCTCCCGACTCCCAGCTATAGCAATAGCAATAGCAGTTAGACTTATATACCGCTTCATAGGGCTTTCAGCCCTCTCTAAGCGGTTTACAGAGTTAGCATATTGCCCCCACAGTCTGGGTCCTCATTTCATCCACCTCGGAAGGATGGAAGGCTGAGTCAGCCTTGAGCCGGTGAGATTTGAACCGCCGAACTGCAGATAGCAGTCAGCTGAAGTGGCCTGCAGTACTGCACTCTAACCACTGCGCCACCTCGGCTAATTGGCTGGATCTTCTTTTGTTGCCCTGCACAGGAGAACAGAGCTGGAAAGCAGGTTAGTGGGTTGGGGAGGGAATGGGGATTTTGCAGTATCCTTCCCCTGCCACGCCCACCAAGCCACACCCACAGAACCGGTAGTAAAAAATTTTGAATCCCACCACTGGAGAAAGCCAAATTAACTTGCAATGAATATGCTGCTGGTCTACATCATATTTACATGGAGACCTGTGATGTCAGGCTGCAAGAAGAGAGAATACCTTGGGGGTGGGGGGAATGGAGCAGATCCGGAAGATCTGAGGTCTGTTCTTGCAGACCACTAGAGCAATTCCTTTCCACACATCGTGGGGAGCTAAACATCTCCAGCAGGGTGGAGAAATGGAGTTCAGATTCTGAAGAGCTAAGCTCTGTTCCTGTAACCTGATGGAGCAGTTCCCTTCTGTGCATGCAGACAGGCTGACCTTGGTAGGCAGCTTTTTTGTTCCTTCTGCTTAACCACCTAAGAGATCGTTTAATGACTGCAACCAGGGAATGCTGGGATTGTAGATGTGGAGAAAAGCAGGCACGTGAATGTCTTGCTTAATGACCACTTCACACACCGATCGAAATCATTGTGGTTGTAAGTTGAGGACTACCTGTTGTAGGAAGAAATGTCCATCTGGGTTCAGTTCCCAAGTCGAGAGAAAGACACCGGAAACACGGAGGCTGCTTGGAAGGATGGTTTAATGGAGCAGAACCATTAAGCACACAGTCCTGGTGCAGCTGTACACATGGAGTAGAGAGTGACTGTTAATTATACCCTCTCTTGGGCTTTGAACTTGAGCTTTCTGTTCCTGTGGCAAGGATATATATCCTATTGGCTACTGTAGGGGTCATGTGTAAATCCTAGGAGTTTGAAATAAGCATGGTTGAATGTGCTGGATGATGTAATGAAGAGGTTTGTGTTCTGAAAGGGTGTTGGGCAATTCCTCTTATGGCTTAATGTCTTTGTCCTGGTTTGGATCTTGAGCAAAGGCTAATCCTATCACCCTGGAGCTTTTGTAGATAAGATGGCCCAGTCTTTTTGGGGCTGTTAACAAAGGTGGATGATGCTATCCAAGAGTATTTCTCCTTTTCTCATCCAGGGAGCAGGGGTGGGTTCCTGCCAGTTCTAACCTCTTCTATAGAAGAGGTTCCACAAATCTACAGTGCCGTTTAGAACTGGTTCCAGCTCCCTCCTCCCGCCCGTCCACACATCATCAAGATGAAGAGTGAGAGGAGGAGTTCGGGGAGTTGAAGTCCACAAGTCTTAAAGCTGCTAAGTTTGAACACCCCTGGGTTTTTCCCCCCAAAGCGTTAGGGGTGCAAGGGTCTTGTAACTTGACAGCTTTAAGACTTGTGGACTTCAACTCCCAGAATTCCTCCTCTCGCTCTTCATCTTGATGAT